TGCATCAGTGTTTCCAGGTGTTAGAAAGCAACTGTTGATACCTGCATCAGTGTTTCCAGGTGTTAGAACACAACTGTTGATACCTGCATCAGTGTTTCCAGGTGTTAGAACACAACTCTTTATACCTGCATCAGTGTTTCCAGGTGTTAGAACACAACTGTTGATACCTGCATCAGTGTTTCTATGTGTTAGAACACAACTGTTGATACCTGCATCAGTGTTTCCAGGTGTTAGAACACAACTGTTTATACCTGCATCAGTGTTTCCAGGTGTTAGAACACAACTGTTGATACCTGCATCAGTGTTTCCAGGTGTTAGAACACAACTGTTGATACCTGCATCAGTGTTTCCATGTGTTAGAACACAACTGTTGATACTTGCATCAGTGTTTCCAGGTGTTAGAACACAACTGTTTATACCTGCATCAGTGTTTCCAGGTGTTAGAACACAACTGTTGATACCTGCATCAGTGTTTCCAGGTGTTAGAACACAACTGTTGATACCTGCACCAGTGTTTCCAGGTGTTAGAACACAACTGTTGATACCTGCATCAGTGTTTCTATGTGTTAGAACACAACTGTTGATACCTGCATCAGTGTTTCCAGGTGTTAGAACACAACTGTTGATACCTGCATCAGTGTTTCTATGTGTTAGAACACAACTGTTGATACCTGCATCAGTGTTTCCAGTGTTATGAACACAACTGTTTATACCTGCATCAGTGTTTCCAGGTGTTAGAACACAACTGTTGATACCTGCATCAGTGTTTCCATGTGTTAGAACACAACTGTTGATACCTGCATCAGTGTTTCCAGGTGTTAGAACACAACTGTTTATACCTGCATCAGTGTTTCCAGGTGTTAGAACACAACTGTTGATACCTGCATCAGTGTTTCCAGGTGTTAGAACACAACTGTTGATACCTGCACCAGTGTTTCCAGGTGTTAGAAACACAACTGTTGATACCTGCATCAGTGTTTCCAGGTGTTAGAACACAACTGTTGATACCTGCATCAGTGTTTCCAGGTGTTAGAACACAACTGTTGATACCTGCACCAGTGTTTCCAGGTGTTAAAACACAACTGTTGATACCTGCATCAGTGTTTCCAGGTGTTAGAACACAACTGTTGATACCTGCATCAGTGTTTCCAGGTGTTAGAACATAACTGTTATTTCCAACAGAACAGTTATTAAAGGGATACTCATCTTAAAGGGATGCTCATCTGTTCCTTCAGTTACAATTTCACTGATCACATGTACACAATGCGACACTCGCCTACAACATTCACGAATTCAGTGGGAAGCGCTGAACCCACTGTGGTTGCAATGGAAGGACAATCAATCAATACCAGAATAGTGCAAACTGACATTTTTTATTATGAATTACACTGGAATCATTACATCTTTTGTAACCTGCTCTATAAGGGGGTCAATATCAGGAAGGATACACCAACTATGGCTCAGGGAAGGGCACTAGAGGTCACCTGGGGGGGTGGGTGGCAGAGGTCACCCAATATCAAATAGAACCAGTGTTCAGGTTGTCTGGGAGACCCTCGGGGTCACCATGACTGACTTAAAGGTCACCGGGGGTGGGGGAGGGAGGGGGGAAGGGGAGGCACACGGGATAAGGTCACCACAAAAAATGGTCCTCCTTAAAATAGGTTAAGAAATGTATGTAGACTGGTCAAGGGGTCAGTATTACACACCTGGGGAAAGTGCTCCAGGGCGGTGATAAAAGTGACAGCATGTGTCGGATAGTTACAAGGATAGTTGCCAGGATACTTACAAGGATAGTCGCCAGGATACGTGTAAGGATACTTATGGGATAGTAAGATGTGAGAAAGAAAGCAGAGAAGTGGGGCCAAGTTCTGATATAAGAATATTAAAATTTATTTGAGAGAGAGAGAGAGAGAGATAAAGCACACTTCCCCCTCAAGAAACATTCACTTCACCCACACTTCCCCCTAAACAAACATACACTTCACCGGGGTTTTCTGCTGAACATTAAAACGTATAAAAAATTGTATTTACAAAATGTTAAGTCTGCGGTTCCTCACACCTCAGTAATAAAAACTGACCTTTTTTTATGTGTTGCAATCTAAACACCTTAGTAACATAACTGACCTTCAGCGTGTTGCAAGCCAAACATATAGTGTAGAGTTTCCCCTCAAACTCTTGTAAAACAGTCAAATAATACGACCAACCATATATCTATAAAAAAAAAAACAACAGACTCACGAGAGAAAAGGGCATACTGACACTTTTTATGCATGGTTTTTGGAGACATTTCTTTGTAATATATAGTGCAGAAGAATGGGCCACCCAGAGGTGTCCTCAAGGTAGTACCGCAGTTACTGCCATCAATACACTCACGTGTATTCATGGCAATTACTGTCATGTATACACACACATGGACATTACCGCAGTTACTGTCATGAATGCACACACGTGTACGTTACCACAGTTACTGCCATGAATACACACACGTGTACATTACCGCAATTACTGCCATGAATGCACACACATGGACATTACCGCAGCTACTGCCATGAATGCACACACGCGTACGTTGCCGCAGTTACTGTCATGAATGCACACACGTGTACGTTACCGCAGTTACTGTCATGAATGCACACACATGTACGTTACCGCAGTTACTACCATGGATGCACACACATGTATATTACTGCAATTACTGCCATGAATACACACACATGTACGTTAAGGGTATTGCACCGAGCATACGTACATGTGCGTGTTGCAAACATACGTATTAGCGCACAATTACGCGCGCACGCACATGTAAGTACACACGCACATGTACGTACACACATACATGCACGTAAGAACACACATACTTACACACACTCAAAAAGAGAATACATGCATTCCGGAATTTAAATATATATATTTATATATATATTTATATAGCAAATCTTATTTACAATGCTCGCATTATACATATATATTAAAATATCACAAGGAACCGAGAAAACCGGTTCACCTCTACTGACGATTGTTCCAGCCAGATGGTTCACACGAACACAGGTAGCAATTTACAATTGGTACATGGGACAAAGTATGTGACTGTGTCCTTTTTTTTTTTTGGTGGAATAATTGGCGGTACGTGATTATAATGAAAATTATTCTCGTTATGAGTTAAAAATGTAACGGCAGCGTGTGGCGGGGTGGTGACTGAATGTGCCACTAACTGCAAACTTATGTAATGTGTATGGTAAGAAATGTTATATTTACGTGTATGGGGTTTTAACATACACGGTGTGTGTGTGTGTGTGTGTGTGTGTGTGTGTACGTACGCATGTACTTGTGGGTGCAGAGATAGAGTCAGCTCCTGGCCCCGCGTGTGTGTGTGTGTGTGTGTGTGTGTGTGTGTGTGTGTGTGTGTGTGTGTGTTTTATATCAAATATAAGATCTTGAACGTAAAAATTAAAAAGTTAACCCCACTGGCATTACTCAACACCTTCATCCAATCACTTACATCCTAATTAGGAGGAACAGGATGAGAGAGAGGGAAGGAAGGGGATACGAGGAAGATGTCTATTAACAAGGCGTTTTCTCTTTACATTTCAAAAAAAAAAAAAAAAGACCAAAGGTACACCCAAATGACTAGACAAAATGTTTACATTACACATCAACAAATATGCGGGACCCTCACTGCGCTGTTAGGGTAGATGGACACGAGGATGGAAGATGGGAAGGCATGGTGGAAGTGTCATGGCGGAAGTTTGTTTATATGCTGGGTGGGTGGGTGGGGGGGGAGTCCCCCGTTCGTCACTCACGCCCACTCTTTTTTCTTTTGGTTATATTATAATATTTTAGCTCTACGCTGATTTTTCTATAACAGCCATTAGAGCTATTTTATTTCTGATCCTCTACATGTGAATTTTAAGCCACTTAGTTGCTCACCTTACAAATAATTTATAATTTAAAGTTCGCAAAGAATTTTTTCCTCTATAATTATACGTTTCCTTTAGAAATTTCATAATATATATATATATATATATATATATATATATATATATATATATATATATATATATATATATATATATATATATATATATATATATTTGTATGTCGTGCCGAATAGTTAAAAACTGCCATTTTGGCTTAAATAAGAATGCTCTTCTTGTCGAATAATTTCGCAAAAATCACTCTGAACCTCGCGAAAAAAATATATTGCACTGTGTTATTTTATTAGATTATTGTAAACTTATCTAAAAAATATTTAGTTGGATTAGGCTAAATTACATTATGCTTGTTATAATAAGGTTAGGTAAATTTTCTAAGGTTCTTTTGGTACAAAATTATTATTTTTTTACATTAACATAAATGAAAAAAATATATCTTTAAACCTATAAGAGAAAATTTTAGAAATGACTTAATTTTAAACGAGTTCTTGCTAACTGACCAGTTTTACCTACTCGGTACGACACACACACACACATATATATTATATATATATATATATATATATATATATATATATATATATATATATATATATTATATATATATATATATATTATATATATATATGTCGTGCCGAATATGTAAAACTGGTCAATTAGGAAGAACTCATTTAAAATTAAGTTCATTCTAAAATTTTCTCTTATACGTTTAAAGATATATTTTTTTTATTAATTTTAATGTAAAAATTTTTAATTTTGCTCCAAAAGAATCTTAGAAAACTTACCTAACCTTATTATAACAAGAACAATTTATTTTACCCTAACCCAACTAAATATATTTTAGATTTGTTTATAGTAATTTAATACTAAACAAACACAGTGAAATATATTTTTTTCGTTAGGTTCAGAATGATTTTGTCGAAATTATAGCATACACAAATTTTCGCTTGTCCTATATGGCAAGATGAGAGTTGCTATTTAAGCCAAGATCGCAAGTTCTGGCTATTCGGCACGACATATATATATATATATATATATATATATATATATATATATATATATATATATATATATATATATATATATATATATATATATATATATATATATATATATATAATATTGCTGTCAATATCTTGTCTTTTAATTTCCTTCTTGCCATTCTTAGGGGATAAAATAAATGATTAAAATAAGTTAACAATCTTAACCACTTCACAACTACACTGGCAGTTCTGTTGTTCACAACTGTTTCATCTATTCCTTAATCCCCAAGAGTTAGTGACGTCACGTGTTTTGATGTCGGCCATTTTGCCGTGGGCATTTTTGGACTTCAGGGCTGTAGGCAGCGCTCAAGCGGAAACTCTGTACGTAAGCCACTCTAAAGCATTATTAAAGAGAGAGTAAACATACGCCAGTTACGCTTAGAACTACGCCATCCGCGTGTATGCACGCGCTTGCTCTTAGAACCACTAAGGCGTACTGGAAATGAGTAATGATTTGTGGTGATGAAATAGGTGGTGCGGGGGAATGATTGTGGTGATCTTTGGTGGTGGTTTTATTAAGAGGAGTGATGATGCTGGTGCTGGTGGTGAAGGAGGTTCTGGCGGAATGATCGTGATGGTGGTGGTGTTGGTATTTTTGGTCTACGCGGTTGCAGTTGTTATTTTAGTGGTGCTGGTGGAGGCTGGACAGTAAGATGAAATGAAGCAAATCAGACAGAAGTAGACAGAGTACGACTTTGTTAACTGGAGTGCTCCTGGCTGACCACCAGGCAAGCACCAGACAAGCCTGGTCCAGGGCCGGACAGGGCCTGTAGGTATTCTAAGATCTAAGTTGGTTAGAAACAAAACACAAATACAGCGAAGGTGACCGTTATTAGTACAACGTTTCATAAGAGAGATTTCGTTCGGATTTTTAACCCCGGAGGGTTAGCCACCCAGGATAACCCAAGAAAGTCAGTGCGTCATCGAGGACTGTCTAACTTATTTCCATTGGGGTCCTTAATCTTGTCCCCCAGGATGCGACCCACACCAGTCGACTAACACCCAGGTACCTATTTGCTGCTAGGTGAACAGGACAACAGGTGTAAGGAAACGTGTCGAAATGTTTCCACCCGCCGGGAATCGAACCCGGGCCCTCCGTGTGTGAAGCGGGAGCTTTAGCCACCAGGCCACCGGGGTTTACCAAGTACTTTATAAAACTTCATGTAGGTGAAACGTCGCACCAATAAAATTTCCTCTCTGCTTTGCGTATGTTTTTTACTACTTATCGGCTACGCCATACTTTAAGCAAAACCTGAGTTGCTGAGTGGATGATGGAGTGCTGACAAAATGAAGTGTGTGAGGAGTCAGGATAGACTGAGTATCTACACTGGCAGCAGTCCGTGGAACAAGATGTTTCAAAACGGTGTGGGTGAGCACTTTTGCTGGATGGTGTCCCAGAGCAGGTTGGTGGAGGCGGCCTAGAGACCTGCCCCCCCCCCCCTCACTTCATTTTGTCACTCTAGCACAGCGTTACTTCAGTCCATAAGATGTAAATGTTACCATTTATTACGACCTGCGTAATACTCAGAAACCGCTACTGTGTAAGTGTCTCGGATTTACTGGTGGTGATGGTGGTAATGATGGTGGTGGTGATGGTAATGGTGGTGACAGATTTAGCACCGTTCCTGTTTCGTATCCTACGAGAGTGATGAGCTGTTTTGATCTCGTCTACATTACAATTTGCCCAAACACTTCTATAGTTGAGACGTTCTTCTGTTGAGCTCTATCAGCCTGAACGTTAAGACGTTCCTCATCACGGCCCTATAAGCACGTTCCCGTCAGATTAAGAACTGCTACCCTCCAATTCTCTCCCCTGTAATGTTTCTTCAGCAAGCTACGTCCTGTACCAAACAAGATCTTACTTGTATTAATGTTGGTAGAATTACCAACAATATGTAAAGTAAAAGGACACAAGTGCAACTAATGTCACATTAGTTGCACTTGTGTCACATTAGTTGCACTTAAGATCCTACTTGTATCACAAGACAGTGTTTGAGTCAGACAAGACCCCACTTGTATCGAACAAGACATCGCCAGACTTGTACCAGAGCAAGAGTCTACATCAACACGGTGCCCGTCTCTTTATAACTGCGTTTGTCAAACAAAAAAGCTATACGTTAGTCCCTTAAATCAGAGAATTATATTTTATACACAATGTTCATTATTATATTCACGGGGAAAGTGGGAAGCGCTAAATCCGTAATGGTAATATAGTTTCACGTGATAAAGCACTGCCTAAAGAGTAATCCCTCAGGTTTCCTTGTAAATCTCCGAGGATTTATGATGAAGGCGAGAACTATTAGTCTGAGTATACGTGTAGTGTCTTACTCCGAGTACACGTGTAATGTCTTACTCCGAGTACATGTGTAAAAGAATCACCAACACCAACGCTCTGACGGCGGACGCTTTCTCGGGGCTTTCAATTATTTTTGACCTATCGTTATCTTGGCTTCATTTGGTAGTCGATGGGTATGCATTTACTCGCTTATTTTTTTATATAAGGAGAATGGTAAAATGATTCTTTGCGGTTTTTTTCTTTTACAACTTTCGACTTAATATTTTTATAATTTTCGACGTAACATATATTCAAAAACAAGTTGTTGCTTTTTAACACTTCATGACAGCAAATTTAAGTATCCTATTTCATTGTGAATTAAATTATATTCCTGTCTGTGAATGAAAGTTCCCTAAAGTTTGTCCAGAAGTAGAATACGTCAAGCAGGTGGTGGTCGAGCCGAGGCAACAATAACACACTCCCTGGGAGACTTCACTGCTATAACACTTGTTTCAACACTTCAACCTCTTCATCCGCCCCAAGGAAGCAAAAGGAATTGACAGCTGACAGCATCGTTCCAGCAGGACCCACAAGGGCAACACTTCCTCAACTTCGTTTCTGTACGTGACGACCTTATTTATTTTGCATGAACACTAAACTAGACCAGATCTTTAAAAAAAATCTTATTTTCCACATAAACATTAATATTAACTTAAGAAGTCCGGTCACCAACATCAACAATACATCTGCTGCTTCAGGGTCAAACATTACTTTTATAAGTAAGGATATTTTTGAAACCAAGTCTGCGATGGAAATGGTTCCTCTGGAAGTCTAGCCTTCAAATGGCGCCTCTGTGGGTACCGTCCAGGAAGATGACACTCTGAAGGCGGCTCTTGCACGCAGTCTTACCCCGTCAGCCTTCCAACAGTTTCTTACTCATGCTCTCTTTTCTCGCCAAGACTGCACATTCTTGGGCCGGTTTTGGCAGCTCCTTGTGGCAGGACGTGTAGTTTAGCTATTTTAAAAGAGGTTCTTGAAAGTTCAAACAACCTACGTAGAAATCCACAGCCTTGTACACACGATGGCTCGGCGATTCCCGAACCAAAACTATTCAGTCTTGTACTCTAAAACTGCAGCGAAGAGTACTATTGCCATTCAGTGGTATAGCATGCGATTGTTGAACTGAGAGAAAAATATGGCCTTAAGTAAAACCCCGTAGACCTACATAGATACCCGCAGTCTCTTGCACTTAGCGCGCCGATTCTTGAACCAGAACTGCACGTTTTTGGGCTCAAGCTTGGGGAACTTCTGGCGGTAGGGCATGCGGTTGAGCTCCTCTGTGTACTTGAGGATGAGGTTGTGGCTGGGGTGAGTGTTGATCGCAAACCACTGCTCGAGTCGCGGCACCTCCGTCACTGGGTCGATGAAGGTACGGTTCCTCTTGCGGCGTTCCTCGGGGGGACCACTGCTCCCCAAGCCGCTGGAAAAGGGCGACACCTGAGGGAGGTACGAATGGAAGCACTCATTACGATTTCACTTTGTACAGTGATTATTATTATTATTATTATTATTATTATTATTATTATTATTATTTTTATTATTATTATTATTATTGGGAAGCACTTAAATCGATTGGGATCATACAGCGGCTGAGGAATGGGACGTAATCAGGTGTGAGGAGAGGAAGCTTAAATTCCTTGGATCAAAATCCTTTCGCCAGCATCAGGAGACCCTCCGTGAAGGGTGTGCTGGGTGGTCATGCACATGAGCCAGGACAGCCAGCCAACACAACAAACAGCATACACATGAGTAACAGCAACAGCCATAACAGCAAACTGCATTAACAAAAATACTGCAAAAGCCTTAATTAAAACTAAAAACTTGCCAGTCAAAACCCCTGAAGAAAACGTTTGATGCTCAGTAAAACGCGAAGACGGATGCAGGAGAGTTTACACTGGACAAACAACACAAACACTGATGTTACTACGTAGCTACATACACATGCACATATAAATACAATACATATACATACACATGCGCAGTTATTATGTAATGTGTTACTTTTTAAGAATATCTAGCCAACTAGACCTAATTGGCAAGGAGCGTTTAAGGTCAATCAGGCAGAGCTTATATTTTCATTTGCTGTAACTGCTATAATTAATATAAAGTATCATGAAGTTACCATTTCATTTTTGACACTAAATTTTACGTCACCTTACCCAAGTTAAGCAGACTTAAGCTACACTAGGTTACCCAAGTTAAGCAGACTTAAGCTACACTAGGTTACCCAAGTTAAGCAGATTTTAAGCTACACTAGGTTACCCAAGTTAAGCAGACTTAAGCTACACTAGGTTACCCAAGTTAAGCAGACTTAAGCTACACTAGGTTACCCAAGTTAAGCAGACTTAAGCTACACTAGGTTACCCAAGTTAAGCAGACTTAAGCTACACTAGGTTACCCAAGTTAAGCAAACTTAAGCTACACTAGGTTACCCAAGTTAAGCAGACTTAGCTACACTAGGTTACCCAAGTTAAGCAGACTTAAGCTACACTAGGTTACCCAAGTTAAGCAAACTTAAGCTACACTAGGTTACCCACGTTAAGCAGACTTAAGCTACACTAGGTTACCCAAGTTAAGCAGACTTAAGCTACACTAGGTTACCCAAAGTTAAGCAAACTTAAGCTACACTGGGTTTAAACCCACGTTAAGCAGACTTAAGCTACACTAGGTTACCCAAGTTAAGCAAACTTAAGCTACACTAGGTTACCCAAGTTAAGCAAACTTAAGCTACACTAGGTTACCCAAGTTAAGCAAACTTAAGCTACACTAGGTTACCCAAGTTAAGCAAACTTAAGCTACACTAGGTTACCCAAGTTAAGCAGACTTAAGCTGCACTAGGTTACCCAAGTTAAGCAGACTTAAGCTACACTAGGTTACCCAAGTTAAGCAGACTTAAGCTACACTAGGTTACCCAAGTTAAGCAGACTTAAGCTGCACTAGGTTACCCAAGTTAAGCAGACTTAAGCTACACTAGGTTACCCAAGTTAAGCAGACTTAAGCTACACTAGGTTACCCAAGTTAAGCAAACTTAAGCGACACTAGGTTACCCAAGTTAAGCAGACTTAAGCTACACTAGGTTACCCAAGTTAAGCAGACTTAAGCTGTACTAGGTTACCCAAGTTAAGCAGACTTAAGCTACACTAGGTTACCCAATTTTAAGCAGACTTAAGCTACACTAGGTTAACCCAAGTTAAGCAAACTTAAGCTACACTAGGTTACCCAAGTTAAGCAGACTTAAGCTACACTAGGTTACCCAAGTTAAGCAGACTTAAGCTACACTAGGTTACCCAAGTTAAGCAAACTTAAGCTACACTAGGTTACCCAAGTTAAGCAGACTTAAGCTACACTAGGTTACCCAAGTTAAGCAAACTTAAGCTACACTAGGTTACCCAAGTTAAGCAGACTTAAGCTACACTAGGTTACCCAAGTTAAGCAGACTTAAGACTACACTAGGTTACCCAAGTTAAGCAAACTTAAGCTACACTAGGTTACCCAAGTTAAGCAGACTTAAGCTACACTAGGTTACCCAATTTAAAAGCAAACTTAAGCTACACTAGGTTACCCAAGTTAAGCAGACTTAAGCTACACTAGGTTACCCAAGTTAAGCAGACTTAAGCTACACTAGGTTACCCAAGTTAAGAAAGACTTAAGCTACACTAGGTTACCCAAGTTAAGCAGACTTAAGCTACACTAGGTTACCCAAGTTAAGCAGACTTAAGCTACACTAGGTTACCCAAGTTAAGCAGACTTAAGCTACACTAGGTTACCCAAGTTAAGCAGACTTAAGCTACACTAGGTTACCCAAGTTAAGCAGACTTAAACTACACTGGGTTTTACCCAAGTTAAGCAGACTTAAGCTACACTAGGTTACTCAAGTTAAGCAGACTTAAGCTACACTAGGTTACCCAAGTTAAGCTGACTTAAGCTACACTAGGTTACCCAAGTTAAGCAGACTTAAGCTACACTAGGTTACCCAAGTTAAGCAGACTTAAGCTACACTAGGTTACTCAAGTTAAGCAGACTTATGCTACACTAGGTTACTCAAGTTAAGCAGACTTAAACTACACTAGGTTACTCAAGTTAAGCAGACTTAAGCTACACTAGGTTACTCAAGTTAAGCAGACTTAAGCTACACTAGGTTACTCAAGTTAAGGAGACTTAAACTACACTAGGTTACTCAAGTTAAGCAGACTTAAGCTACACTAGGTTACTCAAGTTAAGCAGACTTAAGCTACACTAGGTTACCCAAGTTAAGCAAAGCAGACTTAAGCTACACTAGGTTACCCAAGTTAAGCAGACTTAAGCTACACTAGGTTACTCAAGTTAAGCAGACTTAAGCTACACTAGGTTACTCAAGTTAAGCAGACTTAAGCTACACTAGGTTACTCAAGTTAAGCAGACTTAAAACTACACTAGGTTACTCAAGTTAAGCAGACTAAGCTACACTAGGTTACTCAAGTTAAGCAGACTTAAGCTACACTAGGTTACTCAAGTTAAGCAGACTTAAGCTACACTAGGTTAACCAAGTTAGGTTTTGTCAAATTTAGTAAGATTATACTGTTTAGTTTTGGTACAAATGGAAATATTTAATGGTAAGAAAATTATGCTTTATAACACTGGACTAAAAATATCCACTCTCCAACCCCAGATATAAGGAAGAAAGCAAGTGAAGAGATTAAAGGAGGAAAGAGAGGAGGAAGGAAGAGGAAGAGAAGGAGAGTCGAGGGAAGAGGCGCAGAGAGGTAAGGAGTGAAGGAAGGGGAGCGCAGAAGATGAAAAGGGACGAGGGGAGAAGCAGGAAAGAGAGGAAAAAGGAGGAGGGGAGGAGCAAGGCATAGAACGAAGGAAAGCAAGAGGGAGGTAGAGATGGGCTGCTAGGTGGCAGTGTTGGTGCTGGCTGTTAATGATGGAGGTGTGTACTGCTCTAGTGTGACCAACAACATCACCCAGCTGACTCATCACTCTAGGATGGTCGGCAGCAAATCGTCAGAAACTATTCTTAATAAAGGGATTAAACGAAGTTCACTCTCGCTCTGGTCTGTTCGTCCGTGTGTGCTGGGAAGACGGGCGGAGGGAGTTTTTGTGAGACTGTGTGTACTTACCTAATTGTGGTTGCAAGAGTCGATTCATAGCTCCTGGCCTGGTGTGTCTGTATATGTATGTGTGCACAGTCGCCAAGAACTACTGTTTGTCGTCAGTATTGTATACACCAAAATGTATCTATCTGTTTACATACACTGAGAGGATTGTATGTTTCTCAGTGAATATGTGCTAAGACATGACGTTAATCCCTATTTTATGCATTAAAGTCTCCTTCAATGATGGCGAATATTTGACATACAGCCCTTAGTAATCCTCGTGTAGGTGACAGACTTTGCAACGATTCAACCTGTCCTACTCCGTGTAATTAATTCGAATTGCCTTTCAAAATATATATGTAACTCATTATTTTCTACATTATACATATTTTTTTTTTGCATCGCCTGCAAACCTATCTTATAATCAATTATTCCTGTGGTCGTTGGTTTATACAGCGACATCATCCACGACCAGTGATCCTCGTACGACTTAACCAGTGACATCACAGCACGAAGACATCTTACTTTTATGCAAGAAGTCTCTCATACATCGCAAGACTCCTATATGCAATATAATGCTACAGTATTTCCAAATTTATATATGCAAGTGGGGTAGGGAGTTAGATCCCCCCTACCCATACACACGAAGATAATAGCGAAGGTAACAGCACCTTCATACACACATGATCGTCCTGTCGACTAAGTATCACGACCTACGACAGAAAACGCAGCAACTATGGTTCAAACTGCTCCAACCAGACGGATGATCACCACATGTTGCAGCTCATCTGGCAACCACACCACCTGTGCCACCACCATCCCACAGCACATATATCATGGGCAGGGCTAGGCTGAGAGCTGGACGTGGACCATCCAGCTTTTACTCGACTGCGATGTCGCAGGACCTTGCAATATCAACTACGACGGCAAAAACTTTAGTAGATGTCCAGCTGAGAAACTGACCACCTCAAAACTACGTCGTCAGGAGTGATGGACTGCTTACATCGTCTTCACATCTCTACTGCTTCTGCTAACTCTTCTGTACTTGACTGAAGAAGCCTACTGTGTAGGCGAAACGTTTCGGAATAAAGATACATAAGTTTTGCGCATGTGTCTTACTCGGATATAGGGATCACAATAAACGAGCCGTTTCGGCGGCGAAATCTAATCATCGATCCTGTTTCCAGACGAAGCTAACAGGGCCACCGAGCCCTGGTGTTCTTACTGTTAATATTGTCAGTAACTTCACTCGATCAGAGATCTTTCCTTCGTCCCTGGGAAACGTCATTGCAACAAACTAAGGATTGAGACAATAACCTGACTGAATGAAAGCTGTGGTTTCCAGTTTGACTGTAATAAATTTCGTACAGCCAACTATTGCGAAACATAACACATTTCATATCAAGCATTTAGTGGAACAACGTTTCACTTTGTACTGAGCATCAAGTCATCACTGAGCGAAATGTTGCCTCAATAAACCCTAGCTCTAGTTTACATTGTATTTTTTTCCCAGTAGAATGTTAGAGATAGTTAAAATCAAATAGTTCCATTTGTGATTTAAAGTAATATGAACAAGTAAAGCAAGTATCATTCCAAAACTGGTAGCGCTTGTCCAGCTTATATTAAAACATGAACATGAGAGTAAAAAAGATTAACGAGATCAAAATTAGAACAAGCAAAACAAACGAGAAAAAAGTTGAACACTGTAAAGTTGTGTTAAGTGAAAGTTTATGAAGCTATTTATATATAAATCAGCCGGCTTGGGACGCTCATGCACCATTTTCACTATATTTACATGCTTGAGGGTAAGAAGATGCGGTAAGATGCTGTCTTGGGCGTCAGGAACGAAGCGGACAAGAATGTAAACAACGTCTCAAGAAAGCGCCCACAAAAACACAAGCCTGAAGGAAGCAAGACGTTGTGGTGACTGACCTGCGGCATGTAGTGAGCCATGTACATCATGGAGTGCTGGAGGAGGGAGCCAGGCACCATTGGGTATGGAAGGCGATCCATGCCCGCCTGACCCAGTCCTGGCAGTGGTGGGTAGGGTGGCAGTGAGAGCGCTCCTGGCGACACCACCGGTGACGGAGAACACTGCCAGCACACATTAAAAACATTACATTCAATAAGTGAAATAAATAATGAACTCGTTAAATAATAAGTAGAAGGAGATTGAATTGATACGTGACTAAATTATATGAACATGCAAGACAAGCTACGGGGGATGGAAATCTTCAGCTCAAGTACGTACTTTCACACGTCTCCGTGAGTTATCAGGCGCTATGCAATGTTGCATGAGCAGCAACTCCACTGCACCTTACTCTGAGAAAACTTTACCCTCATTTCTTCTGTTGCTACTCATGCAACAGTACATAGCTCCTGATGACGCATGGAAACGTGTGAAAGTACCTGTGCTGAAGAATCCCTCCCCTTTTGGCTTGTATTGTTAAGATTGCTTATCTGACATTGTAATGTATTATATGAATATATATACTAAGGAGAGAGAGAGAGAGAGCAGTAGGCAGGAAAACATTATCTATTAAGAGTGTATAAGTTACAATTTGGTCTGCTGGGAAAGTACTGTTACCCATAAACTGGGTAAAATATATTAA